AAAAAAAATTTTTTTTTATTTATTTTTGTATCCAAGATTATTATTAAAAAAATAATTACTATATTAATCACTCATTTGATCACGTAATCATAGTAAAAATTTTTTTAAACTTACAGATTGTATAGCTATAGGCATAGAACTATGTAATATACCACAAATTTCTGAACATTGTCCGAAATAAGTTCCTTGTCTATTTAAATAAACAGAAGATTGATTTAACCTTCCTGGGTATGCATCACATTTAATACCTAAAGAAGGACAAGCAAAAGAATGTATAACATCTGCAGCTGACACTACAAATCTTGTGTGTGTTAATTCAGGTATAATTACTCTATTATCAACTTCTAACATTCTTAAAGTACCTTCTTCTAAATCTGCTTCTGGTACTATATAAGAATCAAATTCTATAAATTCATTGTCTGCATTTGTAAAATCAGGATATTGATAACTTCAATATCATTGATGACCCTCTCCATATATAACTAAAGATGGGTCCATTACTTCATCCATTAAATATAATAGTTTAAAAGAAGGAAATGCAATAAGAATTAATATTACTGCTGGTGTAATAGTTCATATTAATTCTATTAGTGTCCCATGATTCATATATTTATGAGATATTACAGATTTTGTTGCTTTAAAAGTTTTTATTATAACTACCATCATTCATGTTACAGTAAATAATATTATAGCTAAATAGAACATAATATTATTATGTAATTCCTCAATTCCTTCCATTTGAGGAGTAGCACTATCTTGAAAATATAATCCTCAAGGACTTGTTGCATCTAAATCGCTATTTGAATTGAAATTTACCTCTTTATTATTTATAAAATAATTAATATTATCTATTATATTAAAGAGTGATAAGTTAATATAACTAAAAAAATTTATCATAAAAAAATATTATAAATTTAATTTCTATCTTTTTTTAATTTCACTGAAAAAACTTTTTATCTTTATTAGAATATACTAATTTAAAGTATAATACTTATTATTTTTAATTAATAATTTATTTTAAATCTAATTAATTATTTATTATTATAATAATTTATTATTACAAACTATATTAATTTTACTAATTTTTAATTTAAATATCTTTAATATA